CTGGGAGAAGCTGAGTGCAATGACAACAACTCCCATGATCCCTCACTGCTTCACAACCTCATTAGACTTTTTCTTATTGATTTATTGTGATATTGTACGTCTAAAATATAAGTGTATTTGCAGACATTGGAAACACTTTGGACGTAGAAAGAGATGATTACTCTGAAGAATATTGTGATAAAAGATGTGTAAAGTATATTCATATATGAACTGAAGGTCCGAGCTTACAGCTGGTTATGCTCTTCCCTGGCAGAGCTTCTGATGCCTCTTCTTGCGGTTCAGGGTTCAGCTCTCCAGAGGCCAGACCTCGGCAGCGCAGCACCACCCACATGTCTTGGTGATACAGGGAGAAATACCGGCAGACCCGGCTGGCTTCATGGATACTGCTGTCATCTAATAACTGACCAACCAGTGTAGCCAGAACACGCCTCTCCTCTGGACTCAATGCCGAATCAATGTCCTCCTGCTCCTGAGATGGACCCGGCAGTCCCTCCAGACTGAGACACCTCTCTGTGTTAAGACCCGATATGTTGGAGAATGAGAACTCCTTCATGAGCACTTCGTATGAGTTCATGTCAGGCGTGACGGCCGGCGGCGGCAGGTTGAAAACACTTTCCTTCTCCATGGCGACGGTGAGGACACGCCGTCGGACCCGGCTGACCCACAGCTTCTTCTCCAGGGTCTCCAATCGGTCCACTGGAGCCGGGTTGAGCATGGCGAGCCAGTGAGCGGCGAGGCAGAGCAGCAGGCAGCGTTCCTGGACGTCCAGCAGCTCGCTCTGAGCCTCCGCGGCCCCAGAGGAGTCTGCGGCCTCAGTTTCAGCCTGCGACAGGAAGAACTGGGAGGCAGATTCTGGATCAGTGCTGTCAGCCTTCAGCTGCTCGTGACATTTCCTCCAGAAACCGACTCGTGCCTCCAAACGTCCCCACTGCCTCTTGGACTTCTTGGAGTTTACATCCTGGAGAAGCTACATAGAACAAAGAAATCCCACTCTTAAGCAATATTGGATATTTAATGAAAAATATAGAATGATAGCTTTCAAATAAAAAATTAAATAATGTGTGTGGTGGTTCAAACCTGGCTGAGCAGCAGGCGGTGGATGGACAGGCCGGCCAGCTGAGCGACCTGCCGGGCCTGGCTGTAGCGCCCCCTGGCCTGCAGAGCATCCACTGCAGCCTGGAACTCCTCCTGCTGGTCGGCGGGAGAACTGCACTGCAGCAGCCTGGGAGACAGACTGACCTCCGACCCCTGCAGCAACTGACTGAGCTGACTCAGCTTCCTAAAGTCTAGACCTGCACAAGAATGACAAATTTCACACAAAATTCACTTGTGTACACACATCAACAGAGCAGGGAGGTTTTTTTAAAGTAGGTGCTTTAGAGTGAAGTCTCCGAACAGGTCGGAGGTCAGAATGCAAATCATTTAAGGCAGCTGCTTTGTGCCAAGATAGTAATCAACCCTGTGATGGTCCTAATTAATAATCCCTGTTTTTTCCTGAGCTCATTCTTACATGTTTTGGGATTAGTGAGCAATTCTCTTTTTTTTCTAAAACAGAAAAAGGTGCTTTAGAGTGAAGTCTATGGACAGGTCGGAGGTCAGAAGAAACAGCAGCTGCTTTGTGCCAAGATGGTAATCAAACCTGAACTTATTCTGACATGTTTTGAGATTGGCGGGCAACTCTCGGATCTCACCATTGGATTTGAGAAGTTTGTCGACGTCTGCGAGGAGCTGCAGCAGCCGGTGGAGGTCGTACTGGGAGGAGCAGCGCTGCAGCATAGTGAGGAGCAGCACGGAGGCCTGACTCTCCACCCACTGCAGGGGGAGTCCGCTGGAGGGTGCCGGGCCTCCGTTTCTCAGCTAGGAGGAAGAGATAAAAGAGATGAACTTCACAGCTGAAGGAGGGGGGCCCTTTCATGTTTTCCCTGTTCCTGGATGAGTCTTTTCTGTCCTGGATGATCTTTAACACGGCTGGATGGTCTTTAACACGGCTGTTTAAGGTCAAACCGTCTGCTGCATTAAACTCTTACAGAATAGCTTAACATCAGGCTCAAAAGCAGTGGAGTAAGATTAAGACGTACAACAACCATATTTATTTATTGTTTATGTTCTGATTTCCCACACTTTTTACTGCACTGGAAGTCACTGTTTCCAGGTTTCCATCCAGCGCGAATTACGACCAAACGTTCAGAACATCAGCCAAAAAAAAAGCAAATTAATGTGTGTTTCCTTACAGCGATGAGTGTCCTCTGGAAGTCCAACAGCTTTGCTTTGGCCTCAGAGAAGTTCCTGTAGTCACAGCACAACTCAAACATCCTCAGCACCAACACCAGAGGAGAGTCCTGAGAGACAAACCAAACAGAAAAATATCTGTGTTATTGTTTCTCTTAAGTCAGTGAAGCAAAGTTTTGTTTTCTTAACTTTAAATCTCCTCCTTCAATTCAATATGTTGCATATTAAAAGACTTTTTCCAAATTAACAGATGTAATGATTACTGGGAGAAGTATTCTTGTATTAAAGTGAAACTAAATCCCTGAATTCGGCTAGCTCCCTCCCTCCGAGCAAATTGTAAATAAACTTTTACAAATGGCGTGAATGTGCTTCTAGTGACTATAAAAACTCCAGTCTTACCAATGTGGACACTGAGACAGCAGCGGCTCACAGCTAGTTTGTTAGCTCTGTTAGCTCTGTTAGCACTGACTACCAGAGCTGTACTACTGTCACTGTGGTCGCTGTCACACACTGAAGTAGAGACAGTTTGTTAATCGTCTCCAGGAGAACACTGAGAGCTCTAACAATGGATGTTTGACCTTTGACCTCAACTGCTCTGTTCTGCATTAATACACAGCTGCTACACACACACACACACACACAGACACACACATACATACACTGGGTGTGGCTCGTTCTGAATTCAGAAGATGAAACATGAATTCATTTTCTCCTCATTTTTGACTTTAACGCTCCGTCGCCTCCCAAACCCCCCCCAACCCCCCCCACCTCTGCCGTCCTTTTCGTAACCTCTGTCTACCTGTCTGTCTGTGTACCTGTCTCAGGTGACATTCCCTGTGAGGATCTTTAAGCTGATGGGGGTGGAGACTGTGCTGGTGACGAACGCCTCTGGAGGAATCTGTCCGGACTTTAAAGTAGGTGACATTATGCTGATCAAAGACCACATCAACCTGCCAGGATTTGCTGGACAACATCCACTGTGTGGACCCAACGACGAGCGGTGAGACAGGAGGACAGACACACAGGAAGACAGACAGAGAGAGTCAAGAAGAGACACAGACGACTCTATATAAACCCTGAGAATAAAATAAACTATATTAAAGAGGATCTGATCTGTATGTAGATACCTGGGCTGCAATACCATTCAGGGACATTTTAATATGGAACAATGTGATTCTATGCAATCTGATACAGTTCTTAACATTTAATGTAGACATTTATTTTCCTTTCGAAATTAAAATAAGCCAATTAAAAGTGACATTACCTTCAAATACATATATTTTATTTAAAAAACAGGGAACCACAAGTATTTTGTTTCTAGCATGCATCTTTGCTGCTTCCTCTGCAAGCCACTTTGCAACCCACCTCCACCCCAGCTCCTCCTTTTGCTGTATCTGATTTAATCAATGTTATTTCTGATTGCCATTAAAGCTTGCTCTGTTCTGTACCCTGGGGGTCTTTGCTGCTGCTCTCCCAGTACAGAACAAATATAACATTCTGCATTTGGAATAAGTTTCCTTTGACAAAGGTGGTCCTGACTGAATTACAGGCATTGTGTTTGTTGCTTTTCCAACAGACAGAAAAACTTTCTGCAGTGGTGCACTGTAAATCGTGTCGGCGAGCCATGCTGTGCTTACTCTCGTCACTATTGTGACCTTTCACGAAAGTGGAGACGCCATTAGCAGCAAAGTTTTAGTCAACAGATTCATAAGTTTAGAATTGGACCATTGACTGGTTTATGGTACATTTAGATCCATCCAGCAGTCTGCGTACTGATGTAGTCGCAGCTATAAGTTTAAAACAGATTTTTGACTCGTATCATAAATCTAACCCTAACCCTAGAAATTAAATCTGGTCCCCCTGTCTGTCTGACTTTCTGACTGTCTGTGTGTCTGTAGTTTTGGGATCCGCTTCCCCTGTATGTCCGATGCATACAGTAAGGATCTGCGGCGGTTGGCACTGGACGTGGGCTCCGAGCTCGGCTGCAGTGATTTCATCAGAGAGGGGGTTTACTGTATGGTAAGCGGACCAAACTTCGAAACCATCGCTGAGGCCAGAATGCTGCTGATCCTGGGCTGTGACTCTGTGGGTAAGGGTTTGTCTGATTGTTCATTGAGGGGGAACAACAGCACAGTAAGGGCTTCTGGCAGTTGTAGTGTGGAAAGTTATGTGTGGTTCTCTAGGTTTAGGGTCATTCTGTTTCTGGCAGTCCTAAAGAAGCTTCTACAGTTCTTTAGAAGACCTATGGCATCTCAGAGAGTGTACGATTTCTGGAGAGGGTTCTATCAATCTTCCAGGAAGAGTCAATGTTTCTCTGAGAAGGTTCTGGGGGTCCTTGAAGAGGATCTAGGGGATTTTTATATTGTTCTAAGGGTACATAAGAAGCAGTCAGGGTCGTGGAAAGTTTATGTGGGTCCTTCATAAGCTTCTAGGGTTCCTTGAGATAGGCCTGAGTTCCTGAGAACAGTCTTTGGTACTTGGGACACCTCTAAGGGTTCCCTAGGAAGAATTCTTAGGGGTTCTTATAGGGGAACTTGGCAACTCTAGCCAAATACATGGTCCCAGAAGCTGTAGGGGGAGCCGTTGGAGGAAAACATGCAATGACAAAAGTGAAAAACAGCGAA